CAAGGTCAAAGCAACAGCAGTCTGTAATAACAGAGAATAGAGGGGGGGGAAGATTCACACCTCTGTTTAATTGGAGCATATGATTGATGACTGTGAAAGGAGGGAGGGAGTTGTGCTTGTCTCGAGAGCTAGGGTGGGGGGGTGTTTCAGTTTTTGGCTTTTCTTTGTTCGTGCCGGATTATGTAACCCATTAAAGGATTCTTTAAGGTAATTAAACCTCAAAGTTCTTTGAAAAGTTATTTCTTTCAGAACCATGACAGATATTTTGTATGTTATTGAATTATTGACCAACTCAGCCACCATGTTGCTTTTCAAATATTTATGTAAAACTAGAAAATCAATAAAATTTTCTTAACAAAGAAAAAAGAAAAGGGACAGGGACAGGGGGGGAGATGGAATGCAAGTTGGGGGCAGTGGTGGGATTCAGCCGGTTTGCACTGGTTCAGCAGAACCGGTAGCTACATTTTGCTGCATTCGGAGAACTGGCTGGCTTCCAGGAGGACTCCGAGGCCTAGAATGGACTGTCAGAAGTGCATGGATGCCACTTCCGGAAGTTCATTCTAGGCCTCGGAGGCCTCCCAGGCCTAGAACGGCCCGCCAGAAGTGCATGGATACCACTTCCGGAAGTCCGTTCTAGGCCTCGGAGGCCTCCCAGGCCTAGAATGGCCTGCCAGAAGTGCATGGATGCCACTTCTGGAAGCCAATTCTAGGTCTCAGAGGCCCAGGCCTGCATCGAGTAAGACAACCAGTTGTTCAGGTATTTGAACTCTACTACTGGTTGGGGGGCAATTGCAACTCAGCATCACCGGTTCCTGTGGGACAGTGCTCCAACCCAAGGACGCGTCAAGCCGGTGGACTAGCGTGGCTGGCTGGTTTCCGTAACATGAACAGAAGTGATTGGTGGACGTAATGGACTGTGGAGTGGCCCATACAGAAAGGGGGGAGGTTCACTATACTAGTTTTTGTGTGAGAAACCCAGAGCTGGTTTTGCTTCGTCTGGGCCCATACAGTTTATTCAGTAAAGTTTATCCTCTTGGTAAAATAATTTCCCAGGTCGCGATATTTCATAAATTTTTCCAGTTCTTTTTCTTCGACTCTGGCATCTCCTGGTACAGCGATATCAATCAGGTGTACGCTTCGGTTCTCTACAACTGCGATATCCGGCGTGTTGTGTTCCAAATGGCGATCTGTCTGTGTTCGAAAGTCCCACAAGATCTTCACCCTCTCATTCTCGACAACTTTTCCCACCCTATGTCCCCACAACGTTTCGGACACAGGCAAGTCGTATTTTTTACACAATGCCCAGCGGATTAATTTAGCAACTCGGTCATGTCTAGCTTTGTAGTCAGTTTGTGCGATTTTGCTGCACCCACGTATTAGATGTGAAACCGTTTTAACTTTGTCATTGCAAAGTCAGCAATTTGGATTGTCAGTGGATTTTTGTATCTTCGCTTTCATGGCATTAGTTTGTTGTTATTATTGTTAATATTGTTATTAATATGTTGTTGTTGTTGTTACAACTCGCTGCGGGACAAGAGCTACACTAATACTGAAGAAATAGTGGAATAAAATCGTTAAAGGATGCAAAAATGAAATGTGTATGACAAAAATGAGAATCGTTTTTAAAATTATTTTAAACTAGCTGTACCCGGCCACGTGTTGCTGTGGCTCAGTCTGGTAAAAGCGTGTGTTGCTTTTACGTCCAACAGATGGCGCTGGTTTTAAAAAAAAGCATGTTTTTACCTGTCACAGGTGTGACATCTATATAATATAGGTATATAAAAACACGTGCGTATTCGAATGCAACGTTGTGTCAAAATTTCTAAGCAATCGGTGAAGAACTTTTGGAGATTTAAGATTTTGAACAAACGAACATTTACATTTTTATTTATATAAGAATATAGATAATTAAAATGAGTGGCTGAATTGTCCCGGGTGAGTTGTTCCATTCCACGACCAGAGACAGAACATTCCCTCAATGAGTCCTGCACCTTGGCTCTTTATTTCTTCTACCACACCGTAGAGGAAAAACCGCAGACCAGAAAGGAAAAGACAAGAAATCAGTTTTAATCCTGTGCACAAATCTAGGAACCGAGGGGACAAAACTGGATAGAGTGTTCCGGCAGTGATCCCTCTTTCTCTCTCTCTCTTTCTCTCCAACTGCAGCATTTGTGAGCTGTACATTTCTGTACATTTGCTATAAGAGTCCGTTCCCCCACTGCCGATTGTCCTTTTCCACCCAAGTGCAAAATCAGATTATGGAACAACCCGGAAGATCGCTGGGAAACGGGATCTCCCGTATTCCGTGGCTCCGTTTGATCAAGTAGACCCAGAAGTCTTCAATCCCCCCACCCACCCAACAGGTTGATAGTTTTGCAAAAAAAAAAAAAAAAGGAGAGATGCGCCCCTGTGCATTATGTGGAACATCAATCGCCCCATCCCACACCATGCTCAGGAGGCGGGAAAGAGCACGAAGGAAAGGAGGTCCTGTTCCAGTTCTTCCCGATGGATGAGGGCTCTTGCAAGACCCCAAGGCGAGGACAAACGTGTCTTTGATTCGGGGGTCCCAGGAGCGTCCTTGAGGGACAGAGAGAGGGGAGGAGAAACAAAGGGGAAGAGAATGAGGCAAAGAGTCTCTGGGAAGGGCAAAAGTGTCCGGCACGGCGACCGCTGGCTGGTTCTCCTAGGTGATGTCCTTCTGCCTCGGGGGACGATGAATGTTCCTCAACACGCACTTTAGCATCCACTCGATCCCTTCGTTGATGCCTTTTCTGTAGAAAGGGAGAGACACGGAAGGGTCCGGCATGACTTCCAAATCATCTGTGAGATGGTCCTAGTCTTTAGAGCAGAGCCCCCCCACCTTTTCATGCTGGAGGCCCGGAAGGAAAGGGAGCAGCTGGGAAATTTGCGCCCGCACGCACAGAGCCACCCACGCACCGGAATGGCGCTAGCAGTCCCATTTGCGCATGCGCGCAGGGGCTAGTCACCTCTGCTAGCACCATGTGCATGCACAGGGGCCATTAAACTAGACATTCCCAATTCCAGCAACCGTTCCTTATATGTTTTAGCCTCCAGTCCCCTGATCATCTTTGTTGCTCTTCTCTGCGCTCTTCCTAGAGTCTCAACATCTTTTTTACATCGTGGTGACCAAAACTGAATGCAGTATTCTAAGTGTGGCCTTACCAAGGCATTGTAAAGTGGCATTAATACTACACATGATCGTTGGGGTTGGACTAGAGGACCTCCATAGCATCTTCTGAGCTTACATTCTTGGGTTCTAGGTTCCTCTAGAATCCAGGCCAATGGTATTTGAGTCGGGGTCCTAAGAGTGAGTTGACCACCTCTTTACCAGCCCTCTCCAGCATCTCCCCCCAGGCTGTCCTTCCCCGACAGGCTCCCCACCTACCCAGTGAGGGCAGAACACCCTTGGGTCAAGCAGTCCCTCTTCCCAATTTTGTTGATGCAGTCACTGAAGGCCGTCTTGATGTCGGGAATCGACACGCAGTCCTGGAGGAGGAAGAGAAATTAAGAGTTAAGTTTTTGGCAAATCTATTCAATCAATGAATCAGAATGGAGCTGGAAGGGACCTTGGAGGTCATCTAATCCAACCCTCTGCTCAGGCAGGGGACCCTATACCATTTCAGACAAATGGCTGTCCAATCTCTTCTTAAAAACCTCCAGTGTTGGAGCATTCACCGCTTCTGGAGGCAGGTTGTTCCACTGGTTAATTGTTCTGACTGTCAGGAAGTTTCTCCTTAGTTCTAGGTTGCTTCTCTCCTTAATTAGTTTCCATCTGTTGCTTCTTGTCCTGCCTTCAGGTGATTTGGAAAGTAGCTTGACTCCCTCTTCTTTGTGGCAGCCCCTGAGATATTGGAAGACTGCTATCGTTTCCCCCCTCGTCCTTCTCTTCGTTAAACTAGACATGCCCAATTCCAGCAATTCCGTTCCTTATACGTTTTAGCCTCCAGTCCCCTGATCATCTTTGTTGCTCTTCTGTGCATTTTTTTTTATATATTGTGACCGAAATTGGATGCAGTATTCCAGGTGTGGCCTTACTAAGGCTTTATAGAGCGGTATAAATACTGCACCTGATTTTGATTCTATGCCTCTGTTTATACAATCAAGGATTGTGTTAGGGTTTTTGGCTGCTGCTGCACGCAGCTGGCTCATGTTTAAGGGCTCGTCCACTGGGACTCTCACAGTTACTGTTTTTGAGCCAGATTTTGTCTAATCTGTATTCAACAAACATCTCTCAACCATCCCAGCACGAGCAGCTTGAAAGACCTCTGACAGAGAAGAGCAACAAAGATGATCAGGGGACTGGAAGCTAAAACATATAAGGAAACGGTTGCTGGAATTGGGTATGTCTAGTTTAACGAAGAGAAGGACGAGGGGGGACAGGATAGCAGTCTTCCAATATCTCAGGGGCTGCCCCAAAGAAGAGGGAGTCAAGCTATCCTCCAAAGCGCCTGAAGGCAGGACAAGAAGCAACGGATGGAAACTAACCAAGGAGAGAAGCAACCTGGAACTAAGGAGAAACTTCCTGACAGTGAGAACAATTAACCAGTGGAACAACCTGCCTCCAGAAGCGGTGAATGCTCCAACACTGGAAGTTTTTAAGAAGAGACTGGACGGCCATTTGTCTGAAGTGGTATAGGGTTTCCTGCCTGAGCAGGGGGTTGGACCAGATGACCTCCAAGGTCCCTTCCAACTTTATTATTATTATTATTATTGTTGTTGTTGTTGTTGTTGTTGTTGTTTCTGGCGCAGGAGTAAACGATGGACTCCTTGGTGCTCTCTGAGCTGAGTTGTTTTCTTGCAGACATTTCATTACAAAACTTGGGAACAGCATCAGTGGGAGGAGGAGGAAGATGATGATGATGAGGAGGAGGAGGAGGAGGAGGAGGAATAGGACTGTGGGGTCCTTGATGCTCTCTGAGCTGGGTTGTTTTTTTGCAGACATTTCATTACAAAACTTGGGAACAGCATCAGTGGGAGGAGGAGGAGGAAGATGATGAGGATGAGGAAGAGGAGGACTGTGGGGTCCTTGATGCTCTCTGAGCTGGGTTGTTTTCTTGCAGACATTTCCTTACCAAACTAGGGAACATCTCCAGTGCACTGATGACCTTACGTAGCTTGGTAAGGAAAGGTCTGCAAGAAGACAGCCAAGCTGAGAGAGCACCAAGGATTCCTCACGCATTACATTTTGCAAGATTCAGCACCTTCTGGGTAAAACCGACACGTTTCTCTTTAACACTGAGTCATTCATTTATCTTCACGCCCCTTTGTCACTGTTTTGTCACTTCTGGGGATTAAACCCCCACAAATAATTTCCAAGTGCCGAACAAGGAGAGCCGTGACGCAGAACATGCCACGTTGCTCGTGGCTTTCATTCAAGCAACTCCTCGGGCTTTGAAAGCAACGTCGTTCGCCTGGCACCGAGCAACGGAACACAAGAGATACGGAAACCGAAAGCAAACAGATGGCAGACTGGCACAAGGCCGAGAGCAGAGATGCCAAGGAAGGACGGGAACAAAGGAGGAGGAGGAGGGGGCTGAAAGGTTTCACTTGCAAACTCAGAAGATGCTTTCAGAAACCGACTGAATTCTAAGAAATGGCAACAGAAAGCAAAACTTTCCCGAAATAAGCCATTTGTCACGGCTCCGGCAGATGAAACACTTCAAAAGAACTTCGAGGCGTTGTTTACTTTAAGGATCTTTTATCCGAGTAGCATAAATGTCAGCACTTACATAATCGAAGCCAAAAACTGAATTCCCCTCCCCATGGCACCTAGTATCAAAGCACAATTCCCTCCTCCAATTAACCGTCATAAATCACATTCCCCAATTAGCTTGAAACGCAGGCTTCCTCTCCAGCCCGCCAATTCTTTATCAGGTCTGGGCTCAATAACCTTGATTCTCACCCTAAGTTTAGTGTTGTTATGTCTAGCTCAGCGGTTCTCAACCTGTGGGTCGGGACCCCATTTGGGGTCGATCGACCATTTCACGGGGGTCGCCAAGCAAGGCTGTCCGCCATTTTTTTTGTCCGCCATTTTTTTCCCCTTTTCCGGCGGGTGCCTTACCTCCC